CTAGTTTATCTATGTAAAATTAAATTGTCGCTACTAGGCCGGGATAGCCTGGTCAGTGGGGTGCCGGGCCCATGTCCAAGAGTTCGTGGGTTCGGTCCCTGCTGGTCGAAGACTCCCCGTGTAGTAAATGGTGACTGATGCACGTTAAATCTGTCGAGTCTCAAAGTCCTCCATGTTCCCATAACAAATCAATACCTCTGGGGGTACCGATCCAGGAGTTTCCTTGTCTTCTGGATTGGTTCAAAATTACAGGGCTACGGCGTTGAACATTTGTAGTCGTAAACCCAAAAATTGGGTCGACTGTTCAACGGCGGTCATAAAATAAAATAAAATGGCACTAACCCGCATTTGCTGTACGTAGAGAGGGAAACCACGAGAACCTCCCACAGTTAACCTGACGGCAAGGGGACGCCAGCCCATTGTTCATCTACCACTGAGGATATTTTACGTCAGCACTGTGGTCGGTGCAAGCTGGATGCGGAATTCGCCGCTGGGATTGGAAACCCAATTCATCTCATTGGAAGGCGAACGCTTTATCCCCTGAGCCACCAAGGCTCGCAAACGTGACATTAATATATATATATTTTTTTGAATTTCGTGTTAAGTATATTTTCTTCTATTTGCAGTGAGAGAGCATCAGCAACAGGTGCCACAGGCGACAGGCTGAAAGAGAGTGCTGCCATCAACCAGTCCCTATCTTGTCTAGGAAACTGCATACATTCTTTGGCAGAGAGAGCAACGGGTCGAAACATAAGAGGTGAGAGAATTACCATTTCGTAATTAAACTACTTAACTGCTAGACTCCTGTTCGTTAGAACGGGAGGTCGAATCCAGCCGACGGAGGACTCCCAGTGTAGTAAATTGTGACTGGTGCACGTTAAATATTTTGTGTCACAAAGTCCTCCATAATCCCATAACAAATTATACCTCTGGGGGTACTGATAGTTCTCTAGTTTAGGCCAAACTGTGGATGAATTAATGGCCCTATAAACGGGTGTGACGTATGGATGTGTCAGAAGTCAAATTCGTGGCCATAGATGGCGCCACTGGAAAACAAGAACAATCGCAACTCCTCTGCCTTACTCGCCTACGACAACAACAACTACTTCAAAATAAAATGCACTTTTTAAAATATTCGATTTTCATTACATTTATTTTTTCGTTTTAAATTTTTTTAGGTATCTTTTGGGCTAAAAAAAGAAAGCGAAAATGTTTCTATTTTTGAAACTCTTAATAATGTAGAAATTATATATTCGTAAAAAATGTGAGGAATTTTCGGTGAATACTTTACTAAAGAAAATTTCACATATCTCTCTCTATACCTGCAAAAGTTCCGAATCAGGGGAGAGCCTTGCAGTTGTTACAAGTCTTGAAACCCACGCTGTGTTTTTAAAGCCAGCGACTACTACAAATTTAAAATTAATTTCAATCCATATAATGAAAAAGAGATTACTTGAAACGTATACTTACACTTGTAGTGGCAGATTACTCTAAACTTCCAGTATTCGGACAAAATTTTTCGATTCCAAAAAATCCTTCTTCCTCAACACCAGAAATTCAGAGACTGCGCGTCATATTCTGCGATAAACATCTGCTTTTTCAATCACTGTAAAATCTTAGATTTCACGATCTGAATCAATATTGACAACACACATTTTATTTTTCTATTAATTGATCCTCACTTATACGGTACTTTATACTTCAACACCGATATCTCTTTCTGTTGACATTGAATCAGTATACATTTTTTATTTTTACCTATTGTTATTTTATGTATACCAAAGCATATTTTGCGAGTCAGGGCTGCCCCATCCTGTTCAAGGCTGATGGGGACATTCCCTTTATTTAAATCTACCTGTCAGAAGACAACACAAATACGTATAAAATATAACTTTCTTTATTAAAATAACGATTTTTCCGTTGTTTCTGACACAATGAAAATTTGTTACATATTTCTTAGTAAGTAATATTATGTAAAACTTCGTTTTCGGAATATAAAATTAACGTTAGCAATCGTCAGAAGTGGCATGACATTTAGGCTTCGTATGACATCACCAAACGAGATTTTTAAAAAATATATTTACTTAAAATATCCTTTTTCCATCTTTCTAGTTATACAATGTGCTTTTCATATTTGTTATTTTGTGTTTGTGATGTTGTGAATTGAAGATTGTTTTTTTTATAACCTTCGTTGAACCGAATTTTCAGTTTACGACTACTAATTGTCAACTCCGTAATCTTGTAATTTTGAACCCAATATAGAAGACAAGGAAACTCCTGGATCAAGTATTGGGAGAAAATTGCCTTCCTGGAGGACTTTTTGATGGAACTAACTCGCATTTTTGTTACATAGAGAGGAAAACCACGAAACCCTTCCACAGTTAGCCTGACGGCAAGATGACTCTAACCCGATCTGTCTACCACTGAGATATTTTACGTCAGCACTTTGGTCAGTGCGAACTGGATGCGGAATCCGTATCGACCAGCCATCGCTGGAATTCGAACCCTGTTCACCTCATTGGAAGGTGAATGCTCGATCCCCTCACGGCTCTGAATTGAAGATTTTATAAATTTGGGGAAAAAACTTCACGAAAAACATTTTAGAAATATACCTCCCAATATTAAAAACTATGCACGATAAATAATATCAAACATTCAAAAAACTACTTTTCATTTATAAAAACAGAATAAATTTTTTTTGAAACATGAAAAACAGTTGACCCCCTCACTCAAATGGTTATGACAACTTGACACCTTGAAAAACTTTAGTGGGCAGCATCTAAGTGTAAAAATATAAATTTGTTTCATTCCTTATCGTTTTTTTTTATTTAACCAATACACCTTTCTAATCGAACAAAATATTTGTGAATTTTCCAGATTTGTTTTGAAGGTTGTGAACAAATAAGGTCATAAAGACAGTTGTTTTATTGTTTGCACAAACTTTGTTATTTTTTAAGAAATTTACACCAAAAAATATTAAATACTTCTACACGCATTCTAGTTTTTTTGGAACGCTTTTATAAACTCACTTTCTTGCGTCTGTGACAAAAAAAAATTTTTAAAATCAAAATTTCCTCCAGAATGGTTATCCGACTATCTAATTCATCTAGATTGGCTAATGTCCGTGCAAGTTTCAATCATTTCCTCAGAATTTATCATGATTCAAAATTTCGAAAAGTTTCTGACAAGCTAGCGTGCTCAAACCTTACAATCATAATTATCATTACAATCATAATTTATCCCAATATTACGTTCGTTTATCTTCACTCATAACTCTAACCATTTTCAAACCAACTAAAAGTCCCAAAGTGGACTGATCGTAAGAGACGGTTCCCACTAGATCACCGAAAACGAGCACCGATGACAGTGGTCTGTGAACGGGCAGGTGACCACTTTGATCAGTCTGCGAATGGACCGAAGGTGAGCCATATCAGTCATCATTAAACTGTTCTACCAGAAAATGCTCGATTTCGCGCTCAGGACGTCGAACTATCAAAGCGGGAGAGCAATCTCCTCTGCAGAGGATCGAAATTGTGTGGGCATGTCTATAAAAATGTTTCCTAAGCAGTCACCAACAGCCCATAGCAGCGGTAGTGCGTTGCATAATAAATAGTTTCTACTACTGACTAGCTAGTGTGCTTATATTCTAACTACGGCTCTATTCCGGATGATAATACAAGTTTGACTTAATGGTGCTATCAAATTTCATCGCTATTTTTTAGCCAGTTGAAATATCGGCTCTTCTTTTTTTCTTCAAAGAAACCTAAATGATAGACACAAAGTTTAACATAAAGAACATTAAATTAATATTAAAAAAATAATACTGAGTTTTTCGAGTAACCTAAAAAAGGGAAAATAATTTTATTTTTACCAAACCAGAAAATATTCGTCTCATCACATTTATCGCCACTGAAAATTCTCAAGAGACGTGCCCTATCTTTTTTCGTTTTTGGTACTAGACATTTATTTCCTTTTAATAAAGTAGGGAAATTTGTTAAAAAAATCAGGTTTTTCAAAATGCTTCGATATGACTCCTGCATGAACAGTTTCATGTTTTATTACAGTGCCATACAGGGATTCTGTACTAACGAGACTTTTGATGAATGCTCTTGGTGGCAACAGCAAAACAATAATGGTGAGTCTTAATTTTATGCCCCCTTTCTTTCTGTAAAAATACATCAGGCAATTTTTGAAAGAATTTTTAAGAGCTTTGCTGTCTTCTTCCTTTACTTTGTTAAATAGTTATATATTAGGTCACATGGCATTTTTATTTAATTTCACTGGGCATATTATTTTGAACCAAAATTTTAGTTAGAAATACTTTGTAAAATTGTGGTCACTTTTACTTTTCCTTATTGAAGCGATGCGCCTTACCTTTTATATTATTCAAAATATAAAGTGCTTGATTTAAAACCCGTGACGTAACCCTATTACAATTTGAATGGTTTATAGTTTTGTCAATAATAAGTGGGAACTTTTTATTTCATGACTCCTGGAGGTTTAAAAACTGAATCATTTATTTTATATGAAATTCTTTTAGTTTTAAGTTAATGAATTCCTTAAAATGAGTGGGTCCTAATATGTGTATAGTTAAAAAACTAGATATTTCACTAAGAATAAAGAATACAAAATCACAGTTTTCGAAGTGTTCTTTCAGAAACTTATTTTTAGTCTGTTGTATGATAAAAGCGGTCTTTGGCAAAGAATTTTTAATCACGAAATTTCTACAATTTTCAAAGAGCTCGAAATTATGAAAAGTATATAAATTTAAAAAAAAATGAACTCGACTTAAAATGGATGAAAAAAATCAGTTGAGAAGATTTTTGTTGCCAACTCCTTCACTAGTCAGAAAAGGCCAAAATTACGATGCCTCGATTGTGTTGAAATAGATTTCAGAGCGATTAAGTTGAGGGACTAGCAGACTACAAGTAAATAAATAATATATCATGAAGGAGTATTTTTTATTGGGATGTTTTAGCCCACCCTGGGTTGCCATATGGCAAAGAAAAGGTACACGCAGTTTAAATACTTCTAAAATAGCTGTTATTTGTAGAAAAAAGGTTACTATTTACAAACGATGTTATTTTTTGAAACGCTAAAGAACTGTTTTATTCATTCTCTAAGCTTATTTATTTTTTATTTTAACTTCTCATTGTTCATAAAACTTTACTCCTATATTTCTTCCGTCTGCCGGCCAGTTGGTCGATTGGACAGCGTGCCTGATTGTGAAGCCAATGGTTGCGGGTTCGAATCCCGCTCAGGACATGGATGTTTCTCTCTGGATGTTGTTCTCTGTTGTGTGAATGTGTCCCACCCAACAAACGGGTATTTGTGGAAGTGTGGCGTGGGTAATGTAGCTCGCCTCCGTGACTTAGGTTCACAGGTGCCCACTGGGTAACGTTAAATGAGCAACACTTCCGGTAGCTTCCGAGGGAAGAACGAACGATCAGTTCCTGTCGTTAGAAACTTTATTTTCTTTCCTCTATGCTTCCTCACAATGGTAAAACAGAGCAGATAATTTTATGCATCCATTATAATTACTTAAATAGTAATTATTTCCTCATTAACAGTCCACCTTTTTCAGTATAATAATTTTTAATAACTATTTAAGAACAGCAACATCGCTCAACAAGCCAAGAACCATATCGGGCTGTGCGCCATAAATGAAGAAGAATTTAAGTTCGATGGTATTAAGTGGTTGGATGGGTGTTACATACAATTAGATCTTTGACAAAATTTCATTATGATTTTCCATGAAAATATTTTCAAATAATATTTTCAAGAAGAAAAAGAATCCAATGACTCGTCAACAATTTAAACAATATATTTTCATGTTTTTTTAATTGTCTCTGCACAATAATCATTGTCTTCAAAGATTTGTTATATATTATCAGGTTAAAGTGATTTCAAAATGCCGTTAATGTGCGCTTTACCTAAATCTTGCTGATTAACTAGAATAATCCGTTGTAGAGCAGAATCAAAGGTTTTCCGTAATTTTCCTTCGTAATATCTGCCCATTAACGGTTTCCGCATCTTTAAGGTTCAAAAATTTGTTTTTCTCATTCTTTCAACTAATGTGTTGATTGGTTGATTATTATATATTATTTGGTTACAGTAATTTCAAAAAGCCGTTAATGTGCGCATTACTTAGATGTGCAGATTACCTAGAATAATCAGCTGAAGTGCGAAATTAAGAGTTTTCTGTAATTTACATTCGTAACTTACCTTTTCCGTAATTTACCTACGTGCATTAACGGTTTCCGTATCGTTGAAGTTCAAATATTTGTTTTTTTCCTTCTCTCAGTTAATGTATTGATTGGTTTATTGCATTCACTAACTTGATTCATTAGATAGTGCAAAATAAATAAAAGACATTTTGTTGATTTCGTTGTTTGTAATAATATTTCAAATCATTTGATTTTTTTTTTAAATTATAGTCTTTAAAGTGATTGATGATCAATTCTATCTTAATTTTTAAAGTGAATTGATGATCGATTCTATCTTCAAATGAGTTGATTGTTTGATAGTAGTAAGTTCATTATTTAGATTGTGTGAAATGAATAAATAAAAGTATGTTAACCTGAGCGTACCGAAGCGTTGTAGTTGTTACAGCAAAGACCTTATTTTTATTTTATACATTTTATAGAGTGCTTAATAGACTACGTGCAAATTATCTAGGTAGTTGGCGAATTACTTAAATAAATTAAGAAATTGAAACATTTTAATAAATTAAGAATCAGAAGCATTTTTGGCACTGTAACGGGTCCTGAAGCAAATCTGCCTGTCATTTAAATAATTTGTAGAATAACTTATTCCTGTATCGTGTATGTAACGCAATAAATATTTTGTTTACACTAATTATCTCTAATTTTAGATAGCTTGCATTAGTCCAGCTGATATAAACTACGAAGAGACACTTTCAACATTGCGTTACGGTAATTTTATTTATTTACTTATTTTGTTTTTAAATTTTTTCTGTACTTCATATTTTATTCTATATTTTTTAATTGCTTCAGTACTCTTACGATGAACTTTTGTACAGTTCATCGACTATCAGGCTTCTATAACACAGTAATGGAATTTTATCTCTACAGACCTCTTTATAGATGGACTTTAGCAAGATGGACTTTAGAAAAGATGGCAATTAAAAAGGTTTTTTTCCGACCTTCTGAAAGTAAATAATATATAAAAATAAATATATAAATTTAAAGCTTTGGGATTTTGAAAAGAACATTTTAAATTATACAGATTTAACTCTACGGTATGGGTAAGCTGAAAACATATTTTATTCTTCATTTGTAACAAGGAGACAGTATTTTTAAGAGTCTGACATTGGATATTTGAAATTTGTGATTTTATGAAACTTTCAGGATATTTTTTTACGTTACACTAGACACTTGTTTATTTTTTTTTTTATGTTTCAATTTTTATGAATCTTTTTAAAAGCTTTAGGTCAAAACTGAAGATTCACTGGAATTTTGAGAAAGTATTAATTTGAAGTATAATTAAATTTAGGAAAAGCATTAATGTTTACCTAATTATTGTTTTAAAAATGCTTCTGAATTAATGCCTAACTTGTCTGGATAGCATTGACAGAGGCATAAATATGTGAGTCAGAATTTGCTCGGTTTCTATAAGAAACTTAAATTACTTCTTAGCTATTAGGTATATTGACTAGAGTGGTTTTACTCAATTTAGCGTTAAATAAAAGTTACATCGAAACATTATATCATTTGTCTAGATAGCTAAGAGTGTATTTTGCCACGTTTTCTCCCTCAGTAAATTCTAAATAGAGACTAAATCTTTAGAGGGTGCTAACTTCAAACAATCATATTGCGCCTGAATCATATTTTTAAAAACAAAAAATTTACATTCTTCCGATAACTATTTCTATATTCTATTACTCAGTTTCGAGTCGCATAGTTTAGGGTCATATTGTATAAAAGTTGAATTAGTATAAATGGATACGGGAATTGATTGTGTTTCTGCTATATTTAAGACTTCTTTTCCAGCAAATTTCATACGCGTAGAGAAGGCCGTTAATAACCATAACAGTTGAGCAAAATTTCAGTTTCTTGTTTCTTCATGATTAATTTTTATGTCCCACACCACATAAATTTTATGGTGCACCAAACATATTTTCATTTTTTTGGTACTTCTCATTAATGCGTTTTCGCAGAAATATAAACATTTGTAGTTCACTCTTTGCACAGGTAGATTTTAAAAGCTTAATTTCAAAGATATTTGAATGAACTTTGACATTCAATGCAAAGGGACACTGAAGGAATTTCTATTTTAATAGTTAGTGGGGAAGTAGTAAAACACAAACAAATAGTCAATGCGGTGGTTCACTTTTACATTTTTTTGTAAATAGATGAGTTTCTCTCGCATTTCCAGAGGATCTTCTGTTTCAGCCCTCCAAAACCATGACAAAAAAAAATTTTCTCTCGAAAATGAAAAAAAGCTTGTTAATAGTTATTCAAAAAGGACATAAAACAGAAAATTTCCACATAATTCAAAATGACAAGTATCTAGTTAAATAACTCTTTAAACTCTTTCTCCCCCTCAACTTAGACCAGGTAACAAATACACGCGAAATTTAGGCTTAGAGTTCTTTTTGCGTGAAAAAAATCAATTTCCTGGTGTAAAATGTGATACTTTTTAACCCTAAATAACAAAATCTATTTTAAGGTAATGCACTTTTTCGTTCACTGTGTCTACTGAATAAAACAAACACTTTATCAATCATATGTGGGACATTCCACAATTCCACCTAGAAATTCAGAGGGGTCACATAGGGCCCTGAATCTTTGGTAGACATCAAAAACTCACCTGGCATCTCTGAGTTCGACCAGGAATCGTTTTTACGTCGTTGTAAAATGTGCAATGACATCAGTAGATGCAATTTCTTACTATAGATCAATAGTAAGATAAATCAATTTATTTACAAATAAATAACATTATTTAATTCCCATGTTTAACTGTTCTAAGCAACTACCTTGTTATTACACCACGGCCGCTATGCAAGATCGTACTCAAATAGGAAGAAAGACAGGGACAATTGCCCAGGGATTGTTGAGGGCCCAGCTGGAATTCCATACAAAAAGTGAAATACTTAAATTTTATTTTTATTTAGAGATAGATTTTTTTATACATATTTATGTATGTTTGCAGTGTTTTACAATTGTAGGGAAAAACGTCTTCCCATTTAGTACAGATTAATAAAAATATAAACCATCAAACATTTAGTTTTAATCAAAATGTGTACAAAATTGAAAATAATATTTTAGCATATTTATGATAAATCAAGAATCAAAGATAAGTCATTTCTCAAAAGTCTTTTTCTGTTTTGAGGAATGGGCCCATCAAAGAATTTTGTCTCAGGCATGTAAATCCAGCCTTGCTGTTATAAAAGAAATTTTTTTTTTGCTGAAGCACAAAAAAGGTAAATTGATCATGAGATGTGTCTGTTTGCAGCGGATCGTGCAAAGCAGATCAAAACTCTTGCTACTGTAAATGAGGATCCGACAGAAATTTTGATTCGGGAGCTGAGAGCAGAGAACGAGAAATTGAGAAAAATGATTGAAAAAGGCGTCATGAATGTTCCCATCAAGCCAGGAATGACAGATGACGGTATGCGATCTCATTTCTTCCAGTCTTTTAAAAAGAATTTATGTTTTAATTATTTATTCTTCTAATGGCAGAGGTGATACGCCAACGAAATAAGTGGGAAGAGGAAATGAAAGCAGCTATGGCGGAAAATGAAAGAGAACTTCAACAGATTAGACAGTCATACGAAGAAAAGCTGAAACTGGCTCGTCTGGCACAAAAAGCTGTAAGTTACTGCATAGATGATACCAATACATATCCTTTTAACAAGGTAGTTTAATAGCTTTCTGAGATAGCAAAATGTTGGTATCGTTACCAACTTACAAAACAGGGACGGATATACCCAAGTCTAAATTCTTGATGATCCCATCTAAAAATTTTGATGGTTTATGTTGGTTTCAGTACGATTCATGATGGTCCAACATCACTTGAAGGTTACCATCCTTCTACATTTTTCATTCCATGATGGAAAATGATACTTTATTACTAGGATGGTTAACCATCAAACGAAGTTTGATTCTCATTGACCGACAATCCATGATGGTTTCATCTATACATTTCCATGATTCTGTAATGAGAATTCTTGTTGGTTCTGATGAATATACCATGAAAGAAATTTTTTTTTAATGTTAGACCATCATAAATGAGTCCGAATTCCTACATTGATCGTTCATACATTTGATTTCCAAGATACTATGATGGAAATTTGTGATGGTCTATAAGGGTACAACAATGCATTTTCATAATGGTTTAATAATAATTCTTGTTGAGTTGATTCAGCAGGAATATACCATTAAAACCTTTTTCTAAGGTTGGCATATCATAAATCAGTCCGAATTTCTACATTGGGATGATGATGGCTCATGATTATTCCAACATTTGACTTCTAGGAAACTATGATGAAAATTTCTGATGATTCAACATGAATGAACCATCAAAATAAGTTGCTATTCTTATGTTGGACCATCAAAAATCAGTGCGAATTCCTACATTGAAGTGATGGTTACTTATGTTGGTTACCATCAAAAAATTTAACGGTTTACGATGGTTGCCACCAAGATTATGTTGGTCCATCAATGGAAAACCATCAGAAATTTTGAATTGGGTAGTCACGATCTTTATCAGACAACTGAAAACTCTTTGAGTTCAAAAATAAAAAAAGTTTAATTACGAGGAAGAAATTTTTTTTTTACCGTTAGTAGAAAGTTTAGAAATTAAGAATCTAAAATAAAGATAACTTTTAATGAGAATAATTGTTCATTGTTAAATACGTTTTTTCTTTTTTGAAAAATATTTCCTAACTTAAAAACACTTTTATTCACTATCACTTCAGCAAAATTACTTTGAATAAACCACTACACAGTTTGAAAAACTTTCTGAGCTTAACTGAAATTTTTGCGGAAAATAAATTTGAATTCCATCTTCACAAATTACATTCGCAGATATAATAACAACTTTTAATGATTCCCTCATTATTTACCTATCTTAATTTTAATAATTATTTATTGTTTTAATATAACTTGTTAAACATATAAACTATTAATAATAAATATGAGTAAGCAAAGACTTCTTCTGGATCAACTTTTCTGAGATTAAAAAATGAACGAAGATAATTATAATCAAAGTAACGAGTTTGAAAGGTGTTATACACTGTTTCTTGCTTGTTTCCTCAACCCTGTTTAAACTTATTCTTTCAAAAAAGGACATGGAACGCACGAGGTTGGAAGATTTGAAGAGACAACACCCGCACTTGTCAAATTTGAACTTTGACCTTCAATTGTCTGGAAAGATAGTTCACATACTGTACAAAGGAGCCAACACCATCGGCAAAGAAGACAACGCTAACATACTCATTTTAGGACCAAGGTAATTAACATAATTACTTTAATTGAAAACATGTTATATACGTAGATATCATATCGCTCATGGGCTGCAATAGCGACACAACTCAAAAAATCAAGTTTTGAGATAGTGGGTTTAAAGTTTTCATTGCTAAGCAAAATGTATAGGAAATGCTTTAGTTTGCTTAAACGAAGATTACCTTCAAGTTAAATTATGAGTTGTGCTAGTATTGCTGTTGAAAGAATGTGAATTTTCATATTTACACTTGTTCTTAGTCCAAAACGCGTGTTTTTTAAGTTGTGCCACTATTGCAGCCCATGAGCAATGTATGCGCATATTATGTACGCATTATATTATCTCTATAAACAATTTTTTTTCCATTTTTATTCTTTGCTGTTTAGATTGATAGGCTTTTTTAAATACTCTTTAAAATGTAAAATGACAGCATTAAAAAAAACAAAAAAAAACAAGGGGGATAAGGAATGATTTGTTTTTTTTTATCTGGTATCAGTCAAAGAGCTTTTCATAACTCTTGTGGAAAGTATATCTGTTTAAAAAAAAGTTCAAGTTTTTGCGAATCAAATTTGCGTATTTAATTTTTAAAATATTCGTCTTCAATCAACAATTCCACCTCTAACTTGATATTTCGACTACCATTGTCAGTAGAAAGTACAGCTCAACTCCAAAATGCATAGAACTACTTTAAATAAATATACTCTTGCAGAAAATATTCATGTGTAAATAATATTGTGAAGAAAATTAGTTTCTAATTCAGTTTTTCGATTGCTATCTTATAAATAAAGTAACAGCTCTATAATTCCAGAATCAAATTGCAAACTTTTAATGATGTTTGAAATAACGCATATCTAATAAAAAAAATATGTTGTTTTTTGTGTGATTGTTTAGTATTCAGGAGTACCATGCAATCATCCATGTGCAAGACGAGGGTCAGATCATAATTGAGAAAGGATGTCCCGAAGCTAGAATATTGCTCAACGGGGAACCTGTCACTAGTCAATCAGTTCTCAATCACAATGACAGGTAGGGTGAGACTTATTTTTTCATTATTTCAGAACTGTAAAGCATGGAATTTATTATTCAGAAATTCTCGTGTTTTTTTTAAATAAAAACTGATATTTTTAAAAGGATTTTGTTTGGAACGACCCAGTTGTTTGTTTTCCAAGAATCAGATATCAGAGTCAAAGGGAGGAAATACCCTGAAATCACATATGAGATGGCACAGGAAGAAATTGCAGCAAGAGCAGGAATCAACCTGTCGGACGACAGCTCAAGAGGTAATTTTACACTATGAGTAAAAAAAAAATTATATGAAGAATCATGCATGGAAATTACTAAAAAATAAGTGTTGTCTGAATCAAAAGTGGGCATGTGAAGTAGATTTAGGAATCAATTCACATGAGAGCATTTAAAGTGAATGTAAATTTAAATCAAAGCGTGATGCGTTCGTTACAGTCTAATGTTTAGTTGCATAAACTTAGTGGTATGATTGAAGGAACAATTACGTTTTGCATTGTTCCCCCAATAATCGCAATATAAGGGAAGGTTACTATCATTTGACCGGTTCATCATTTTGCAGATATTAACATCAAGCTTTATTTGTTGACTGCTTCCTTTCAGGACTAGTTTCAAACACTTTAATGAAGTTTGAAAATTGCCCTCTGGATGGATCGTCAGTTAATTCGTGATCGAGTGAATTTCGTGTACAAGACAGTACGAATTGTGAACTTCTGTTCAATTTTTCAATGTAAACAAACTATGTACAAACGAGACGATTATAGTGTTTTAAATGTTACTGATACTGTTTAGAACTGTGTTTAAATAAGTGTTTAAGTTAACCGACTGCTAGTTGTCGTAAGTGATCCAGCGACAATTACTATGAATGGGCTGGTGATTCTACCCTAGAAAAATAATCCAGGTTAACATTTTGTGAGTTGAACAAAAAATTTTATTGTTTCTGATTCAGTAAAAGCATATCAAGAGGGATTAAATCGAAATGATATTAATAATTAAATATTAAATTTATTCCTTCTAGATCAATGTACACGCACCAAAAAACATCGAAGTATTAGAAATCGTTCGAAAAAATGGTTTAATTATGCTCTCCCTTCCAATTCACTGAGGCTCATAGCATTTTTAAACATTTTACTGACTTGTATTAAGTTGAGATTTTATTGAGAATAGAATGGCTACCTGCTTATTCATAGAAAGTGCATAGATTATTGGACAGTTTTCGTTGATTAGGCCAATGGTTTTCCTTTATTGGTTACTTTTTGTTTTATAGCATTTACTTAACATTTTGTAATTAGAACGTCTACGCTTAAAGATACACATAAGGTAAAGTTAGGTATGCAAGTATTCCCGCATCAGCCCATTGGGGGCCAAGGAATCATGGACTTTAATCATCCAGAATTAGCGACCAATGGCATGACCAGACAAACTGATTACTATCAATATGAAACTGGATGGTCTTCCTGTCACCGCTGGGAAACGAACCCCAGTCCTTCACAATGACAACTCTGTGTGTTTAACCAATGAGCTATCGCGGATCTGCTATGCCTAGCGTGGAAGACAATAATTGCATAAATAAATTTTCAAAAGTATAAAATTGTCATATTCGCCACTAAAATTCGACTGCCAAATATAAGTCGCCTAATGATGGCAACCTTTCTATAAGAACTTATCTTTGTTTGACGAGAAATTTTTCTGGGAGATTTCCGAAACGGAAATTGAGTCAGAATAATCGCCAAATATGAGGACTTCAAGGAAGGAGTCCGAAACTGAAAGAGAAGGAAGGAAAAAATATTACAGAAGGAGACTAACTCGAAGAGTCGTATTACTCGTAGCTATCTCGGGCAAACCTATACATATTACACTGGTGTAAAAAATTAAGAGAATTTGCAGACCTGGTCGATTAGTACTGGTAGAGATAATCGACCAGGTCTGGAAATTCTCTTAATTTTTCTACACCATTATATTTTAAAGAAACTGTAAGTTTAAAGTATCTTTGGCGATTGTAGCGGAATTATTTTCAACTTTTCTTATGAAAATGAATGTTGCAGAGAGTGTCCTCCTCAATAAAGATCTGTTGGAAGTTCTACCGGGTGTTGATGTCGCAAATTCAATCAGCGAAGAATTGGATAAGAGGGTCCGCTTCGAAATTATCCTCGTCTCACCACAGATGATTGGCAAGACAATGGGTCGAACCGAGGTACCTTCTTAACATTCCCTCTATTGTTTACGTTATTTCAAAGTTAAGTGGTCATTAAACTACGCTTTAATAATGGAGGTACTGTCCGATTATCACGCGAACAGTTCTTTGCTAAATTACTTTTAGTAAGCATGCGGGCTTTTTACCTAATAGCCAGACAGTAGTTCCATAACTCTTACTAACTGTATTTAAAATGCCGCAATTAAAATGCCATGTAACCTACTATTTATAAAATTCCACATTTAAATTATCATGTTACTGTTAATTAAAATATCCTGTTAATATCATGCTTTAAAACTCCACAAACTGCATCCAACTGGAATCAACTTACGGAATAGATTCAGGTATTTTGAAAGTTTAAAAATAGAGCAACCTTCTTTAGAATAAAACACAACAAAAATGTCGCCATGCAGTGGGTACCAGTGCACGGTGGACTTCAAGGTAACGAAACTGCAGATTTCTTGGCCAAAAAAGCCGCCAAGATTCTTAAGCCAGTTCCTTTCTACACCAGAAAAAGGGTAATAAAAATCTCTCTTCGAACAATATTTGAGGCAAAACTCTAAGAAAATAATAAAGATAAGGACTGGCTGGAAGGAATTAAATATATAAAAAAAAAAATCTTTAGAATAAAATCGTTCAACTATGCAGGGGGTGGACGAATCATCTTATAACTTAGAAAATTTTATAAATAATCATTTTATAACTTAGCAGTATTTAGATCACGCGATTTCTCCTACTTATCAATGAAGTTTAATGCTTTTAGAAGTTTGAGGGACCGACAATAAATTACAAACGGAAAATAGTTTTTTTGAACACCCTGCGCCAAAAACTGTAGCAATAAACTTGTAACTTATAACAATTATTTTGGTTATTATATGCAATAATTGTACAAAATTTCGTAAGACTAGCCTAAATATTTATAAAGATAGACATTTTTATAAAAAAAAACAAATTTTTTTTGTCTTACGTTTTTTTTATATATAACTTTAAAAACGGTCAATAAAATTAAACAAAATTTTTAGAGCAATTTAAAATTAATTAATTTTTATTCTTCTTAAAAATTTGAAAGACATTCATTGAAAACTATAAAGTTGTACTTTTATAAGAGGAAAAATTTAATATTTTTCGTATCGTATTTGGTAGTTAATGGAAAAAGTGCGAGTTGAATATCTTAATAATTCAAAAAGTTTCAAGCAATTTTCCAAGTCGTTTTCGTACTTTTTAAAAGAAACTTAAAATGATAAGGGGCCTTCTAGAAATATTATTTTGTGTCTTAAGACAAAATTAAATAACAAATGATAATACCTTACAATAAACGTTCATACAGCGAAATATGATTGTACAAGGAAAGAAAATATGCGAAAGAAAATACGCTTATGGGGGTGATCTCCAACAATGTCGGTGTCATTTGTAAAGCATCTTGTTTAAATAAGAAAGAAAATTGTTAGAAACTTGTTAAATTTTTATGGTATTTAAATCAAACTATTATTATTAGTTGCTAAATACGATTTACTTTGACATTAAGTAAAAAAAATTTCCCTGCCATGCGGAGTATGAAAGAACCGTAGTTGCTTGAAAATGAACAGGGTGGTTGTGGTTACAGACCTTAGTGGACGACCTGTATGATAAAAAAATAAAATGGCAGAGTTAATAACCTGCTTCAATAATTTTTAAAATTTCGCCTGCTACTTTATTTTAAATTGGAGAATACAATCATACTTATATTTAGTCTTCCTGCCTCCAATATATCGGACAATATTTGGTACAATTTTATCATTTAATAATATTTAAAGTTTTTTTTTCTATTCATATGCTGTTTCAAAGCAATTGTCTATCTAAATGTATCTACGTTTATCTTCGTTGATCTGACTTTTTAATTGTAATAACAAATTATAAGAAAGGTAAGAAATTCTATTTAAGGTACCGTTTGGATAGTTTTATGTCAGATCAATATCTTATTATTTGAAAATAATGGATTTTGTTTTAAGATCAAAATCTGAGGAAATTTATATTATTAACTAAAAAAGTTAATTAAATTCCATTAATTGACATTAAAAAATATTTCATACCAGTTATGAGACTACTTTCTTCTAAGTTACGAATTTATAATTGAAAAACATATTTTCTGCCAGTATTTAAATCACGGGTCTTAGAAGAAGTAATAATAATGAAATATGATTTAAAATCTTTTAAAATGGGACTTTTATTTTTGTAGGTGTATGTGAAAATGAAGAACTTGGACACACGACAAGAATATGAGTGGCCTAAACAGAAATTTCTGAATCGTCTGTATGTCATGAAAGAGATGTACCAGAACTACGAGGCAGATGAAGATTGGGATCTTCCACCTGTGAGTTTCGTTTTTTCAAAGTCATTACAAGATTTCGGAACTACGAAACTAAATTCTTTGACATCATATTTCTTGGGGATGGGTGATTGTTCCTGTTTTCCAGAGGCGCCACATATAGCCAAGAATTCGATTTCTGCCACACCGATACGCTTCACTCGTTTATAGGGTGGACTCATTCATACTTCCATTCATTCATCCACCGATCGTAATTTTGACCTGTAGCAAAGAACGATCAACCTCCAATTCAGTACCCCCAAATGTATTAACTGTAATGGGAACATGGAGGACTTTGTGACCCGACAGATTTAGTGTGCATCACTCACCATATACGGTCTTCGGCCGGCTGGATTCGAACTCCCATTCTGACGAACGTGAGTTCAGCATCCTGACAACCTGGCTATCCCAACCCCTTATAAAATATTAAAATTTAAGTTATTACTTCTTATAAAATGTGAAAAATGCTGAAAATATTAATAATTATAAGAGAAAAGCAAGATTAAAATACTTATTGTATACATTTTTTTTAAAAGACTAAATTATTAACCCACGATAAAATATGCTGCAAAAAATTTTAATGTCATTGACACCAAAAATCATGACAACTACTTTGCACCAAAAGTGTTGTAGTGGAATAGTAGAGATAATTCCTTGTGTAATCAAACACCGAACACAGTTGTTGGAGTAGAAGATTGTTTCTCTACACTTCTTTTGGTGAAAAGTAGTTGCCGCCGTTTTTGGAGTTCAGTAACCCTAAGACAGAAAATTTACATTTACGATACAGTTTGAAGCAAGAACAGGTAGTTTAGGGAAAGCAAAAGCACACTAATTCTTAAAATATAATTAATATCTAAATCAAGCATGCACGCAGCACAAAGGGAATATTTAAACGAATTAGAATTAGGTTAAACAAAATTAAAGGAGATAAAAATGAAAAATTATAAAACTATTCATTGCGAGTGGTAAATTTTTACAAATTAAAATAAAATTATATTTATCAGACAACTGAAAACGTACATATATTTTGTAACGACCGACTTTTGTTTCGAGTATAGCAGAATGCAAGATAACAATAAACTAGTTCCATCTCAGACTTAATTCATTAAAATTAATCTACTGTTAGCATCTGACGATATACGCCGAAGTTTGTATTTTCGGAAATAATTCTGGAATGCGTGCAAACTTGATGTACGCATTCTCTGTTATTGATTGTAATTTCAACTACACCTTTTTAACTGTATATGAACAATTGATTTGGTGCTAACTTAAAGGAAAGTATTACTTCACGCAATCTTTTGAGTTGCTTACCACCAAATTCGGAGACTTATTACCTTGTAGAAAAAATGTTTAAACTTGCTAATTTTAGAATATAAGCTAAAAAATAAGTTAAAAGTATAGAGAAAGCATGGAAAATAATATAATAAAGATTAATGAAAGGAGAAGAAGAAAAATTATAAGAATAAAATATTTTCTAAAAATATTTTTTAAAACATATGAAAAAGCCGGAAAACAAAATAATGAAGAAAAGATTTAATCATGTCATCAGCTCAAACGATTATAATCGCAAAATGGAGTGATTTCAAATGTTGTATTAATATAGTCCAAAGCAAAATATATCAATGCAATAGTGTGAGGAGCACTTGATATATATATATAATTGACATTAAAAAATATTTCATACCAGTTATGAGACTACTTTCTTCTAAGTTACGAATTTATAATTGAAAAACATATTTTCTGCCAGTATTTAAATCACGGGTCTTAGNTATATATATATATATATATATATATATATATATATATATGATAGTTTTAGAATGATCATACAATTAACAATGTATTGTCATTTAAAGGAGCGCGATCCTTTTCTTGAAGATCCTGACACAGAAGTTAGAATTGGAACTGTACAAGTTTATTTACAGCCTTTGTCATACAAGGTAAGCGACTTATATCTCGTCTAAATAGAAATAAAAATGTATGCAAGTAAAATGGGTCGCATTTTTCTTCGCTTATAAAATAATTTGCGACCCCTTATGTTTGTATTTCTTTTCATTTCCCATTCGGCAAATATTCTAAAAATGTGCATTTAAAGTGATCATTACGGAACGCTATGGGTATTTATTAAATCCTTGTCAAAATTAAAAACATTAAAATTATTCTGTTATTGATGCCAAACAAGCATTAAATTGATACAGTGAGAAACGTTATTAAAACTTGTGAAATAATTTTCGAATACAATTATTAGAAGAATTTAATTGAAACCATTAAAACCTGGATGTATTGTGAACCGGAAACGTTTTTAAAACTTGTGGAATCATTATGAAGAGCCATCTTTAAAAGTATGTAACTAAAATCATCAAACCAGTTTTGTCCGTTGAATGAAAAGTAAGGCGTTACTGATAATTTATCGCTGATAGAATACTTAAAAGGTTAGACGTAGATTTTCGTTCGCAGGCTTAGACCTACACACGCTTAAATCTAATATTCAGAGATGCAAGGTGGGTTAAGAACATAAAAAGTGGTATTATTTTATCATAAAATACGGTGAAAAATCAAATTTTAGAACACAATTTATTTTTAGAACCACAGATGTCTTGATTTTGAGCTAAAACAAAACATTCTGAACCATTCGAAATGTGTTCCGGTAACTAAGAACATGTTATTTAAGTCGAAACGAAAAAAGATTAAATCTTGTAGTTTTACAACCACTCTTTATATTTTTGAACATAAATGAATAGCACTGAACATAATTTCAAATATATTTTATGCGTAAATTTTATTTCATGAAAACAAATTTTGACAAGGGTTTAAAAATATAAGACAAGAGGACACCTAAAAAATGAACCTTAATACATCTAATGATATTTTTAGGTTGAACTGAAGGAACAATTAGAGATAATCAACTACAAAGGCACAGATGTTGGAATAATTAACGTAAGTAGTGAATGTCTTTTATTTCATTTTATTAGCATATTGGTCTCTCTTTACAGTGAATAAAAAAGATCATTGTGTTGTGAATTATAACTTAACTTATACATTATCAAAGCAACCAATAAATTTCAGTAATTTCAAAGTAACTAATAAATTCAGATGCTACAAATTCAAATAAACACCTCCAATAACCCATTTGTACCCAATTTTATGGCTGAAATAAGTTAAGCTCTAGAGCAGAGGTCGCCAAAGTGGTCTATATAGACCCCCAGGGGTCTATTTAACAAAAGCGGGGGTCGATGTGAGACAGGGGGGCGAATGGGGGTCGATCCGAATCGGAAGGGTCGATTGTGGGCCGGAAAAAAAAAACAGTTCTCAATACGCAAATCACACGTACCTAATTAAGTATGTAAAATTTGTGAATTTTTTATATAATTGACTCTATATCAGTTTCTTTGTAAAACATAAATTAATAAACGTATATTTATTGGGGTGAAACAAGTATTTACGTACCACCGCGCAGTGGCACGAACTCAGCGCAGTTTATAAGTCATATGCATATGTGCGCTTGTCCAAATGTCACGTGTGACGAGCATTGACGTTACAAATGCAAATATCATACGCAGTTTCAGCTATCTTTGCAAACTGTGTTGAATATTTGCAGTGTCATTATTAAAACTTTTATAGTTTTGGATAATTAGTTATTGTTTCGATAAAACCATTCGTTTGGTTTAGATATCAATTTTAATTATCAATGCACAAAAAAGAAGGTAAGCATTAATAATATGGATTAGTACAGCCCGCGACAAAACTATAGCACACTTTGTATTTTTTTACGAAAATTACAAAATTGACCAATTTTGACGAAAATTAAAATTGACCAATTTTGAACCCAATATAGCGAACCTTGCAAAAAAACACCAGGCACACCCATCTCATTGATCAAGAAGCAGTAAATCTTTAGTTACTTTACTTATTATATCTACTTATGCATAATTACTTATTATTTAATAATAAGGTATTTAAATTTCAATATTAATATATTTTTCATAAAACTATTGTTACACAATGTACTATTACTTTAATAAATGTTTAAAATCATAAAATAAATGTACAAACACAGTATCTAATAGAGTTTTATTTTAATTAACAGAAAATTACTTTTGTGGGGGTCGATGGAGATTTCGAAAAATTATATAGGGGTCGATGATCAAAAAAGTTTGGCGATCCCTGCGCTAGAGCGTCACAACATTTATTGGCTGCTACAACACAAACCTATTTAAGAGCAATATGTAAAGATTCAGCAATTACCAATACGTTGAACCTGTTTATCTCGAACCTCTTTATCTCGAAAACCTCTATATCTCGAAATTTTTAAAATTCCCCTACATTTACCGTCTAAAATCAATGTATTTTCCATGTTTATGTCGAAATTTTTTTTTTTTCAAAGCCTTCGTTTCTCGAATTTCTAATAATAGAGCACAAATGTCAAAACATTCTTTATCAGCAGAACTCGTAGACAGAGATGAATTTCGTGAATCCACAGGAGGTAGGGATGAACAGGTTGGGGGTGTTTCTTGGAATTTCAATCACTACCCCTGCACTTCCTTAACTAGAAAGGAATACAATGATTCTGGCAATAAGTGAGGGGTTAATGAATGAGTAGTGACCATCAGGGGTTAGCTTTTTAACATAGATAAGAAAGCTAAAAATAGAAAATCATTTTTGACCTCGAAATTGCAACCAATGGATCAAAGGATAATTAAGAGTTTTAAAGTGAACTATAGAAAACGATCTACGAGGAATTTGCGATCTTTCTAACCTCAAGGAATAATCGAAGCAAATAAGGTTATCAGTAAAAATATTGGAAAATTATTTTCAGTGTTAAATGTATGTTAAGAAACTGTTATGTAATTAGGCGTAATGTGGTATAATTAATTTAAAGAAATGTCTATATTTTTCAACTAAAAACAAAGCACTTTTAATAGAATTTCTTAATTAAATTTAATTTTTTATAGTACCTGTATAACTCGAACCTCTTTTTCTCGAATTTTTCGCCTTTTCCGTGAGATTCGAACTAAACAGGTTCGACGTATTAGAAACACGAACTCTTGGACATGGGTCCAGTATCCTACCAACCAGGCTATCCCTACCTCTCATTTCTTGATTGACTTGATCCCTCAAAAATTTTGAATTTTAAGTTGTTTCTCTTCGGTTTATAATTTCTGAAAATGTGTTCTACTTTTCCAAAAGACCAGCATTCTACTAGATTTTGTGCCTCAGTGACTTACTCCTTTAAACCATAGGATTGAATCCTAGCACGTGAAGATCCAATCACTAGCTCAAAAGTTATTTAAAGTGCTCTTTTTTTTTTTTTTTTTTAAATTTTTTTTTTGCGTGTGTGCGTGCACTGTACATAAACACCCTTATCAATTAAACATTGTAAGGAGCGAGTCGGATGTTATTAGATAATTTCTTGAAAGAAATAGAAAACAGAAACATTTAAGCATGTTTTTTTTTTTTCAACCTGTAGTCTCGAAATATCGTCTTTTTAAATAGTTTTTCCTCATTATTATTTTCTTCTAGTTACAGCGCCATCTGTAGAAAAATGCATAAACCTATAAGCCATATTGAGTTGCATGTTTTAGCAAATCTCAATCTGTAGTAAAAAAAATGGAGATTCTTATTTAATATTTCAAAGGGGGAGGTTAAATTAGATACCATTGAATATATCTTAAAAACTTTTGAATAAGACTGATTCAATTTTTTTCGCCGTAGCCAAGGCTGTAGCCAGGATATTTTTTCGGGGGGGGGGGATATGGTAAGAAGCAAGCACAGTTTCAGACATGCAAAGTAGGGGAAAAACATTGTAACAAATATTGTTTATTCTGTTGTTTGTAAAAGTTAAACTAGTAATTAAAAAATATTGCATAATAATTATTTTTCAATTAATATTAAATAATGATTATAATCAATTTGTAAACAAAGTTTACAAAGACATGTGACGGGGATTTGAAGAAAATTTTTCGATTACTTTTTTAGGACAAACCGGAATATTTCGAAATATGCTTAATAAAGTTAGTTAATAAAAGGTTTGATTCGACAGTTTTTGTTTTTCTTTTTACCGAGAGGCTCAAAGAAAGTCTAAAAAGTTTGAATCCCAGAATTTCGGGGGGGGGGTGTTTTGTCCTGACGGTCCCCCCCTCCTGGCTAAAGGCCTGGATCTGACGTATACGTTCCTAAATATTTGACCGCTTCCAAACTTTTTTTAATACTCACTATATAACAACAATAACGCTAAATAATAAATTCGCTGAATGATGGAAGTTATAAAATGACTCATACAGTATTTTAATCTGATTTATAATAAAAACTGCGTTTACACAGGTTGAATTAGTTCCTTGCTCAGATGAGGGTGCAGAATATACAGAACAAGACGATCAATTTGTCGAAAAGCAAACAGAGCTCCTGGGCAGAAACTTATACTTTTTTGTGAAAATTAATGGATGTAGAGGCATTCCTAGCAGATTTACGGTAAGAGTTACTTTTTATACTTTTGATACTTTGTATCATTAGGTGAATGACAAAGACTGTTATGAAGACATTATTTCCGTAACAACCCCGAAATATAAAACTGTTTCTACATTTTCAAAAAAAAATTTTTTGTAACCGTCGTTGAATAGCAGACCCGATTTTTTTTTTTGGTGTACGACTACTATTGTTCAACTCCGTAGCCTTGCAATTTTGAACCCAATCCAGAAGACAAAGGCACTCCTGGATCAAGTATTGGAAGAAAATTGCCTTCGAGGATGACTTCTTGATGGAACTAACCCTAATTTGCGTTACAGGGACAGAAAAACCACGAAAACCTCCCTCGGTTATCCTGACGGAAAGGGGACTCTATCCCATGATCCATCTACCACTGAAGTTATTTTACGTCAGCACTGTCTTCGGTGCAAGTCGGATGCGGAATTCGTATCGCCCAGCCATCGTTGGGATTCGAACCCGGTGCGAACGTTGTATCTCCTGAGTCATCAGGGCTCTGTTTCCACATTTTGTGACACAGTTTATGCAAATATTACCCTCGACAAAAACAAATCCATCTCTTTTTCTACGCCAAATGGAAAAAATAAAGATTATCACACATATTGTGTATACAGTTTGTGAATTCAAAATGCACAGCATTCAGAAGAAAAGAAAAAGGTTTATAGAGAATCAGCCAAAAGAGGAAAAACTAAAATTAAAATAAAATAGTTTTTCATTAAATAGTGAAAATGTTATGATGTTATTGAATCGTATGGTAGTGCGCGAAAAATTGTATTTTTAAATTCGATTTCACAGGAATTATTCGATTAATTTTGCCTCTTTGCTCAATGATATTACTTTAATAAAAATGATGGAAAAATTGTATACCTTATAATTCAAAATTTTGTCCACTATTATTAAATAAAATAATAAATATTTGCTAAGTGTCAGTTTTTGCATGGAATTATCTTTGGTTAAACGAATTTTATAATTGTGTGCAAAAAATTTTGGATTTGCTCAAAAAGTTCTTCAGATATTGCGAAATAGTCATAAGGAAAAATTAATATTAAGGGATCCAAAATTTGGATCGCTCTCCTGACCAAACAATTGGGACCATATTTTCCAGATTGCGGCTAACCTCTACCTCTATATTTTAGGAGTCAAAATTCCGAATCCATCGAAAAAAAGTATGTTTGTTTCAGAAGTACGTTTTTGTGACTGATGTCGCAACTTGAAATACTGTCTGCAACTAAGTAATTAGCATCTCTGAAATCACCCTTTCGAACCATTAAGATTGAGTGCTAGAACGTGAAAATCTTATTATTAGATCAAAAGTTATTCAGAATGGTCTGTTTTTTTTTGTTCATTGATATATTAGCTAAAAATATATTTTTTATATTGTATTTATTTACTAATAAAGACAAGTTTTTCAAATATATTAATAAAGTATGTAATGTATTTATATAAGTATATGATAGTGAAAAACCACTGTCATCATGTTCGTATGAATATTCGTACCAAAAACAAAAGATTTTCAAACAATGCAGTCATTCGAAAAAAAATAAATATTAATGTACACTTTATATGGATTGTATTAGCAATGTTGTATTTCTTAAAACTTCTATAATTATCTTTTCAATCTCGCAAAAAAATATTTTAATGAAAAGTTTTTCGAGGTTACTGTTTAGCGTAGAAATAATGCTTTCTTGGCAGTTGTACAAACGAGCCAATTAAAGTTACTCTTGATGCAAGAATCAAGTTTATTTATAAGATTTTCAACCCTGTTACTTGTCTACTTTCACGTAATCTTCTTTCCTATCTGTAATGGTGCAAGGCAGCACTTTGACAAAGCACAAGCCTGCGGAAGCTTTGAAAGAGTTCTTACAGCTTGGTCGTGTCTTATGATTTCAAGCAAATTCAGTGTAGTTCGAAACGAATGATGTCACAGATTTGGAACATCAGAACATGCCTGAAAAGTCCTGATAAGCAAAATATTCTTGCTTGAAATTACTGGACTCGTAGAAATTCATGGGGGGTCCAGTGATTTTATGCATTGACCTATTCACTTTACCTAACCCTTTATTGATCATTTCAAAGCTGAACTCGATTGTAACCGTCTATATACAGGATTGTTCCTTGCCTGAATTTAATTTGTTGTAACATCTTAAATCTAGTGATCCAGAGGACGCTACCAACATCTAATCTTTTACGTTACTTATTAAATTTCAACATTAAGAAACTGGTTCTAGTTGCCTTGTCAAAACATTAAGAGTTATCTTATTAAGAATTTAAATTAACTGATATTTTAACGTTGCGAAGGGTGTTGCTTTTAACTATATTTTCGATATAACCTTTTTCTGTCTTTTTTTTTTTTTTTTAATTTTCNTTTTTTTTTTTTTTTTTTTTTTTTTTTTTTTTGGTATTTTTTTGTACGTACAATGTGCTGGAACATATTAATATTATTAAGCATTAGCAATATTCTATGACAAATTTGATTTTGATGTTGTGAAAAACGGTATCGTGTCTTTGAAATTATTTAATTCAATAGCTACTTTTTTTTTTAAATAAAACAATATTTGTTTTAAATTCTCTCCCTTACATAAAACGTTTTTAATGCTTTTTTATTATTGTAACCGAGAAGTAAAGATGCCCAAATAACTATTAGGCAACTAATAAAAATATTAATAGTTTTGATTTGAAATTTCTTGCAATTTTTTAAAGTTGAATTGAAAGACACTAAAAATGTTTATACATGATAGGTCATATTTCATATTTTAAAGCAAAAATATCATTTCATAAATTTGCTGTAAGGGCGTTACTCGCCCAACAGAAGCTAAGTATATTTTGTTACAGCCTATTTTTAATAAAATGTTATGGTTAGCAATGAAAATATATGCAACAGTCAAGTTACTGATCTAGTTCTGTCTTGATCATTTTAAAACAAATTCACAGTGCGAGACCAAATGACATTAACATACGTTGTCTTACAAAAAAATAAACTTTTTAATTTGTAAAATAAGGACGTTATTATTTCAGGATGTCAACTGTAAATACCGCGTCTATTTTGACGAAGCTGACACTGTAACCGAAACAGTCTCTGATACATCGAACCCCGATTTTCATCACAGTAAAATGTTCTCATTCACTCCAGTCACGCAACAGGTATTTATTCACTTTTAGTATTATGAAATTAAGGTAACAAACATATAAAACGTGTTAGTGTTTGTTCCTGCTTGTAATAGAGTGGATGTCATAAGTTTATAATTATGATTTGGGAATTTAAGAAGTTTCAATTTTACCAAAAGAAACAAAAGCATTGTTTCTTAAAACGTATAAAATAAAATGGAAATAAGATTTTACTAATTTGTGTAAGAGGTCTACAGACCATTAAAATTTAACCGAATTGAAATAACCCGAAATTGTTTATAAATACAAACTTTTTCAACTGGTATTTTTTATTTATTTAAAGAATGGTTTTGAAACAATTTTCGAATAAAATTTTTTTTTTAAAAATTAAAATCACAATAATTATTTATTTATAAAATAAAATATCTTATCGACCTTTTTATATACTAAAGATTGAACTAGAAATCGTTTAAAAAGTTTTGTTTTCAACAAGAACTAAATAGTTGTTCTTCAGAAAGCATTAATTATTCGAACAAAAAACTACAAATCTGAATTGGATACCTGCAGGCGACGTCATTGTGGGTATCGATGCTGCTTGTTTGTTGAAACGAGGCATTTGTTTGTGTTAGCAACTGTTCTTCCCATTCTATTTCGAGTAAGCCTAGCATATCAAATGTTAATACGCTATACGATCGATTCATAATCGATTGTCATCTGCAATAATCTCTTAACTAAGGAATTCCTTTGAATTATGTAATTAGTACTTAACTAAATAAAAGCAACGATCTATAAATTTTTCGTTAATTATGAAAAGAAGTCGACAGCAAAATAGGCCCAACAGTTGCGACGTTCGCACACCATCTTGTTTATAAGCAGCCAGCCAGTGCTAAGGCTACAATTTAAGTGGCTGTGTATCAGCGGTCTTCTTTTCGAGTTGAGAATATCCCATTGTGATTGTATCTAGCTAGAATTAAGAACAATAGGTTGAAGAGTGCTTTTAAGATTGCATGCATAACAATTACTAATATCAAATAACACATGCACTGATAATCAGAACAGTAAGCTAATTTTCAGTTAAACATACTCCAATTTATTATTTTAAGATACTGAGCTACTTGAAAGATGGCTACATAGTGATTCAAGTTTGGGGCAAGCAGAAACCTCGAAAGTCGGCTATCGCCAAATCTAAAGGCAGGAGCACGAAACAGATGATGCAAGATGATCTTCTCAATCAAACATCCCGGCTTATGAATGGATTTCGCATTAATGGAAGGGTAGGCAAGCTTATTCTTCTCTCCGTTTTTCTCTCAGTAACCTTTCTTGAACTGTTTATTTTAAGTTCCTTGAACTGTTGTTTGAACTCTTTATTATTATTAATTTCAGAATGTCGATCCAAATAAGCAAAGCATGATTGTCGAATTGTTACTGATGAAAAAGAACCAACAACGGCAGCAACAAAAATTAGTAAGAGAAAATTTAATATTTCATGACTGATTCTTTTGTCACTTTGTGATAGATATTAATTAGGCTGATTATTTATTTTATCTTCAGGCTATTTCTTCTTTTTTTTATTCTTCAATTATCTATAAGTGTAGTGGAAAATTTTCCTACCTTAAGTTCCTACTTTTTTCCAACTTTAGCAATTTTCATGCAAAAAATTTTAATTTTCTTTTAAAATAGCATAAAAATTTGTTAAATAAATTAAGTATTAAGAATAAAATAATTTTACCTGATTTTGTAGCTTGATGTGATAAAAATTAACAACATAATTATTTCTTTGAATTAGCAACAAATATGAATTAAAATAAAAAGAAAGTGCGAAAGCAAAAGAAAATAATAAATCGGAAAAAGAAAAAGAAAGTGTGAGAAAACCAAAAATTAAAGTAATTCAACATTTAATCTTTATCAGCTATCAAGAATGTACAATTTGAAACATTCGAAACGAATGTTTCAAATTTCCCTCTTCATTCAACTACTTCAAAAAAAAAAAAAAAAAAAAAAAAAAAAAAAAAAAAAAAATTGTAATTTTAGTTAAACACTGTCCTATTTATGCTTACAGTGAACCAAAAAAAAATTACCTTGCGAAACTTTTGTTTTAACTATCGAATTTCCAATCACTAAGTGCCAAACTTAATAAGGTTTAAATGTATAAATTATCTGTGAAATCAGATGTAAAAGCCTGCTTTCTTCGATTTTAAATCTTCACCCACACAATATCAGGAAGTTGTGGTTCTCATTGCGCAGTCAGAATTAGTGAGGAGACTTTTTTGTGTCTGTTTCCGTAACTTAATTAAAAGTCAGCACCATTTTGAAATCAACGCTTTGAATCAGCAAGATAGGGACTTAATTCATGAAAATTCGATCCTTAGAATAAATTTTATTCAGGTTGATTTCCTTCTTTTTTTTTTTTGGTTCACTTTGCACGGAAGGTATATCCTGGTAATTGAGTGTTGTTTTTTCCCAATAATAGGAGAACATCGGTCAGTTGGTGGACATAGCCGAAAAAAGTAAAGTGAGAGATCTTCCACTTCCCATGGTCAAAGAGCTTCTTCTAGCCAATTCGAATGAAGAAGCCGCAAGAGTTTTCCATCGTTACCTGCCAAAAGGTATTTGCATATATAACATACAATTAAAAGATTAAACGCCTAACATATCGGCAAATGCTCACAGTTAACCGCTTAACTATTTAAAAATAACCATTCCCACTAAGAGATTCAAGCGAAGATTTGGGGTGAATCTTTACGCTTTTTGTAGAAAGAGAATTTTTTTCTTCTTTCAGGGATTTTTACTTTAAAAAATTTGTTTATTTAATGTGTCACTTACAGACTTTGCAGCTTCAAAAATATAAAGTAAAAGTTAGCAAAATTTGTTTCGTGCCACCCTGTGGTCTCATAAAGTGTCTATGACTTGATTTGGTTATTATTTTTATATGAAGTTTCTCGACAGAAGAAATCATGAATATATAAAAACAAAAACTATGGGCCGGGATAGCCTGATTTGTAGGGCGTTGGACTCACGCGCGTGAGAACAGAAGTTCTAATCCAGCCGGCTGAAGACTCCCCGTGTAGTAAATGGTGACTGGTGCACGTTAGATCTGTCGAGTCACAAAGGCCTCCATGTTCCCATGACAAGTTATACCTCTGGGGCTACTGAATTGGAGATTGATAGTTCTCTGGTTTAGGTCAAAATTACGATCTGTGGATGAATTAATGTATGTATGAATGGGTTCGCCCTATAAACGGGTGGACGTATGGGTGTAGCAGAAGTCGAATTCTTGGTCATTGATGGCACCATTTGAAAACCATAATAATCACACCCCTTGCCTTAATGACCTCGACAACAACAACAATTATTTCCAGATACAGCAATCAAAACTTCGATTGTCAGTTTTAATTTTATTAGTTTAGAACGAATTCTAAAAGGAATTTTCACTAAAAAATAGTTTTTGCCCTTACCGCCATTATAATGATGTGCAGATTGCTGGTTCGGTTTCAGTTTGCTATCTCATCTTACGAAAATATTTTAATACTGAAATAAAAGAAGTTACTTTTACAAATTGTTCTATTTTATCAATGAAAAATTCCGATTATCCTCTACATTTCTTTTTTCGACATGTTTATTTAGAATTGTAAACGTACTCACAGAGAATTGAAACGACATAAAATGCTAACAACCGAATTGGTCAAAGTGTGAGTTGCTCTAAATTAACGGTATTTTTTTCCAGCTCAAAGAAACAGTTGCATATATTTTCGAGCAATTTGCGATTGTTATATCACAAGTATTTTTGAGCAATTTTTGGTGAAAGTTGATGATACGATTGCACATACGGTTAACTTGCCAGTTTCGTAATCAATAATTTTCATCGTGTGATATATATATTATAACCTTAGTTCTTACAATCTGATAGAATAACTGATAATATCTGTAGAATACTTGATTTTCATACTTGAAAGGTAAGTTATATAATGAGTATTATACGAGGGCTTTTTTTGAAGTAAGGACCATTTGAAATTTAAAACCAAACAAAAGATCATTTTCATGAAACAATTTTTTTAAATTCTATAAACGCTTCTCTTTTTTAAAAATAGTTGCCAACTTTTCTTAAATACTTATCATACCTTACATCTAGATTTAGAATACCCTCTTTATGGTAACTTGCCGCCTGCTCCGATTTCCAAGAGGTCACGACCGTTTTCACGTCTTCGTCATCGTTCTACTGGTTGCCTCCAAACTGATGTTTGAAACATCGGAAAAGATGAAAATTCCTTAGCGCAATGTCTGGGCGAGTCCCAATGAGGGGCGAGTCACCCCTGGGACAATGAGGGGTGGTCCAAAACTTCCCAGCCAAAAGAGTCCAATAAAGCTCGGGACTGAGCTGTGAAAATTGAGAGTCATTGTCATGGAGTAGTAAATTTCCCTGTCAGCATGCTTCACAAATCTGTCGGTGAAGGTATGCAGCAGGCGAGTTTTTTGCAGACGAAAAATGCAGCACTGATCGTACCTTATACGGGGTGGGCGATTTGTTAAACTTGTACATTTTAAGGACACGCAGCTGATCATACAGATTACCCACAAAGCTGTAACCGGGCAGAGTTGTTCCCAAGAAATGCCAAGACACGACACAAGCACACTTTGCGACGCACGCGTCGTCTATTAGTGTACGCAACAAAACGGCCCTTACTTAAATACAGCTCTTGTATATTGGACATATATTATATGACTGGGGTGCCTTGATACGATAGTGAGCAAGGGTGCCCCACTTTTGAAAAATTATGGAACCTCTACATTTACTGAACTTATTTTTTTTCCTTTGAAGGACATGCGCTACCAAAAACTCCCGTAAGCGTTGCGGAGGAAGAAGAGATTGAGGAAGAGGAAGAGGAAGAAGAGGAAGATGAGGAGGAGGAAGAGGACGAAGATGAAGACGAGGACGATGAAGAAAAAGAAAAGAGGAGAGAAAGAAGACGCCGTCGTAGAGGAAGTGGGGAGTCGGACGATGAGGACAATAATTCTTATAAAGGCTCGTCAACTTGTATAGTAGTGTAAACATTTTTCAACAGTCACTTTTCCTTAGCATATATGACTAAACAAAGTATGAGAGATTAATTTATTCAAGAGAAATAAGATTTTTCCAGAAAACACTATTTTTATATTAATTTTTAAATATTCTTTACGTACCAAAAAAAGTGAAACAGTGTTGTTATTCCCAGGAAGGAGAAACAGCTTAGAAGAGTTCCATATTTGAACTATACGAACAATCAAACATATTTTTATAGAACTTGAGTTGTAAAAATATGTAATAAAATAACGCACATCCATTGATGTTTTAAGTATACTTTCAGAAATTTTTAACGCAATATATTTTTTAAAGTTGATTTTAATCTTTCATCTGCCATTTAAAATCAAATCGAATATCACTTAACTGTACTTAAAACACGACGATCTTCAATTAAACTTGAGGTATTTTTCTTACATTTGTTTTTATCAGTTTCAACTTTTAAAACATTTTCTCGTAAATCATATCAGTACGTGCACAATTTTTTTAAAAATGTTTTTTTGTTATACGCTCATTTGAAAATACAGACTGAGAAAATGAAAAGTTGCGAAACTGCGTTTTCAGAACCTTTTTAAGTATTTCTTATCATAAATTATACCATGAGTTAAGATTTTATACGCAACATAGGGATACGATCAGAAACAAAAAGAAAAAACAACCTACATAAAGCACAAATAGTGCTTAAATTATTTATATTTCAAAACTATTATTTTTAATTTTAAATTTCTGCTTTTAACATTAGAGAAAATCGTTTGATAAAATCGTGAAACATGCGTTACCAGATGTCAAATGAGTTATCTTTTTATGGTGCATTAAATTTGAAGATATTTTTAAAATTGGATATTTAGATAAGACTTATCTTTAAAGATTAGTCAATTAAAACTAAACTTATTCATGTAACTCTTTACGATAAGATTAATCTAATAAGACGAATCTTATCGTAAAGAATTGCATGGGATTTAAGCAGCAAAACAACATACTTTCCTCAACTCATTTGGGTCTAGTATTATTTTCAATGAACAGTTCGTTTTTAAAAGAAATAAAAAGTGGTGACTGAAATGTTTTATTATTGACAATTATTTTGTAAACATGAGAAGGTTTTATCTTATGAAATATATTATTTGTGCAACTATTTTTATTTCAATTCTAAACTAGAACACAATTCCTTTTTAAAGGTAAAGCGGTAGGTAATTCAAGAAAATACTTGGTTAAAATATTAATAATTGATCAATGGACCTATTTTTTGTACATTTTTTACCTCATTGGCCACATTTGCGTGTCGGGCATTATTATTAGGTTAAATCCTTTTTAGAGTAAGAGTAATACTTGAATCTAACTTAAAACATATAAAAGGAGAATATTGGAACAATGTTTTGTAAAATTTTCTTCAAAATATTTACAAAATTTTGTCTTTGAGAATTATTTTTTGGGAACTCCGTGGAAAAAGTATTTTTGTCCTGGTCATGGTTTCTTAAAAACGAATGCAACAATTTCGCTGAAATTTTGCACATCTTTCAGATCGATTTTTCAGTAACTAAACGATGGATTGAAAAATTGAAACTAGAATTTCTTGCAAAGTTATACGATTTTAGATCATATTTTGTTTTGCAAAATAAGTTTCATTCTATGCTAAAAACATTCTTTCCTTCAATATCTGGTCTATCTAGAAGAAGTGTGGGCAAAATCGACCCCCGACTTCAAAAATAGAATTTTGGGAAAACTCAATTTTTTCTATTTTCAGTCAAACCTAATGCTCCAAAAGCAGTTATTGACTTTAAGAAGTTAATGAAAAGGAGTTAATAAAAAATAATTGTAAAATATTGCTCTATTCGGTAATTTAAAAAAAAGAAAAGAGTTTTTGATATTTGGAAACTCATTTAACTCCGAATTGTTTTAAAAGAATTTTATATTCGAAACACAAAAGAGACTTTTTCGTTAACAAATACGTTTTTTTAAAGAGTAAAATGAATGCCTAAACGAATGCAATAATGCTAGAGTCTAAGTATTATTGAACTCTGAGCATTATTGTATTAATTTATAATGCATTGATGCAATGATACTCAGACAAACTATTGCGAGTTTCCCGTTCATCAAGTGTAACGTCGATTTTTTTCTCCTTTCGTTTTGTGAATTACTTGTCAAGATTTTTATGCAAATAAAAATGCTAAATTCCTGTATAAAGTATTTGTAAAAATAAAATAATTATGGTTTTAAATTGTTTTTATTAAAATTCAATATTGTGTTAAAACAAACCCATCTTGTAACACCATAAAAAATAGTGCGTGGAGTCCCTCCGCGCTGAAGAAGTTACACTTCGCAACCTGCGACGTTAATTGTAGAAGAATCAGCAGTCTTAGAAGGATCACTAGCTCTATTCAACGACTCTTTTTCCTGCTCCGCTCGCTTCCGTGCTCTGTAATCACGATAATATTGAGCATTTCTCCCTCGTGGACCTCTTGTGGTTGCCTCATCGTCTCGCCCTGGAAAATGTATTTGTATTTATAATGTATGTGAATGCGTCATAAAGTAATTTCAAAAGAGAAAACCTAACAATCAATTGATATTCACAAGAGACGTACCTTGACATAACCTTAAATCCGTCGCANCTAGAGTCTAAGTATTATTGAACTCTGAGCATTATTGTATTAATTTATAATGCATTGATGCAATGATACTCAGACAAACTATTGCGAGTTTCCCGTTCATCAAGTGTAACGTCGATTTTTTTCTCCTTTCGTTTTGTGAATTACTTGTCAAGATTTTTATGCAAATAAAAATGCTAAATTCCTGTATAAAGTATTTGTAAAAATAAAATAATTATGGTTTTAAATTGTTTTTATTAAAATTCAATATTGTGTTAAAACAAACCCATCTTGTTACACCATAAAAAAATTCAAATAAAAAAAAGCATTCCTCTCTCTAACAATCAGCAAAAATATCTGAGAAAATCAATTAATTAAAACCATAAACTCGTGTTTGTTATTTGCATCGTTGTTTTTGTTCAATAACATACCATAAATGTGGCAAAATGCACAATGCAGGGGAAATAAATGTAAAATGTTGAAGAACTTGTAATCTAATCATCGGATTTCCACGTACTATTGGTTGGTGTTGTGTACCTTAATTATGATGATTAATTAATGCTGACGATATTTAAAGTTATGAAATCAGACATAAAAACGTATTTTTTGTCTGAATAAGCATATGCTTGATCGACAGAATTGGATTTTTGATCCTCAAAATAAGAGGTGAGTGGCTGAAATTTTGAGTTCCTTAATATTTTTTTTGTTCCACATAATAATTGTTATTTTGGCATTTCACCATATATCTGAAACTAATTCACAAAATAAAAAGAGTGTTTGCATACAATTTCACAAATAAAAGTTAAAAAAGCCGCATTTTTTATTTCTGTGGAATCTTCAACAAATTTCGTTCATATTCTAGATTTTGCCACTAAAAGTAGCAATTTTTAAGAAGTTTATTCTGAGAAAATACGTATGGCATATTTCGTAACTTAGTATCATTTGCACTAATAATGTAACACATTCAAGGTATCCCCCTTGAAATTTAACCTCATAATTAAATCATCAGTTATTAAAAGTGGAATTTTTTTTTGTTCGCAGTATTATATTTGTTCAAAATTTCCTATAAAAAGAAGTTATTTTTTGTCTGAAAATACGTCTATCTTAATTTTATATTAATTGCAAAACTTAAACACTAACATTTAAACTTGGAGTTGTGTTCTCCGATTAAGAAAAATGTAATAAAAAGAACACAGCAATTTTATTTTTTTACTAAAATTTTTAAAGACAGAAATTAGCCTACAATTTTCTGAAATAATGTTAAAAATTGGTACATTCTAACGCATTAATTTTTGTTAGAAAATGTTTCCCAAAAAGGAAATTAAATAACAATGATATTTTTAAATTAATTTAAAATTTTCATAGATAGATAATGTTAGACTTATTGAAAATACTAAAACCGGACACCTCCAATTTCCACCCGCCCCCCTCCATTTCAAGTTTTCAAAATTTAAACTAACACTGGACTTCGGATTAAAACCAACACTCATCTCTCTTTTGTCGCATTGCTATGATAGATACCTTGGTAAGATATTTTGTCATTCAACTAGCTTCAACAATTTAAATCATTCTGAAAAGACAATGGTGGCTTCATATGGTAATAAGCAAGGACAGTTTCAGACATGCAAAGTAGGGGGAAAACATTGTAACAAATATTGTTTATTCTGTTGTTTGCAAAAGTTAAATTAGTAATTACAAATATTACATAATACTTATTTTTCAATTAATATTATATAATAATTATAATCAATTTGTAAACAAAGTTTACGAAGACATGCGACGGAGATTTGAAGAAAATTTTTCGATTACTTTTTTAGGACAAACCAGAATATCCCGAAATATGTTTAATGAAGTTAGCCTTTCTTCTTTAGTAGCATTTTTTGTTTCTGTTTTTTTTTACTCGTTTAAGAGTAGAAAAAGTTCTTTCTGCATTTGCTGTGGTGATTGACAACGTAGCCAATATTGATAACAAGCAATAAATGTAACGGCCGAAGGAAAAATGAGCCACAAGGCCAAGTGAAGGTGGTGTACTGGGAAAAGGTTTGATTCGACAGTTTTTGTTTTTCTTTTTACTGAGAAGCTCAAAGAAAGACTAAAAAGTTTGAATCCCAGAATTTCGGGGGGGGGATTTGTCTCGACGGTCCCCCCCCCTGGCTACGGGCCTGATTGCTGCATAGTATTACCAGTTACAATCAAAATCGTCTCTAAGAATTTGTGAGCAGAAAGAAAAAAGAGAGGTACACATTTTTCAATTTTTTAAAATTAATTTTAGTAGATTAACAGTATGAAATTGTATAATATTTTGATATTTTCTAATCATAGGGCAATTAACCTAATGCTAAATAATATCTTGTTCTCAAGATTGAAGAGTTTTTATAAGTGTCAATGTTGGACAATGTGCTCCTTATCAGATTATAAGGAAAAAGTGGAAAAACTAATGCAGGTGGTTCATTTTGATTTGTTTCTATATAATTATTGGAGTAATTAGAGGTAATTACCCTAGTTCACAGTAATGCGTTCCAACCTATATAGATGTCTCACATTTGAACCATATCCCACCCCGGCAAGAACAGTGTCGTAACTATGAAATGCAGCATTTGAGAAAAATCAACTTAAAGAATACTTACTATAAGACGCATTCTGAATTAGGCACAAAACTGACGCAACTGCCCCCAGCTGGATAAATTGCGAGTTGGAGATGTGACACTTTTTGAGATTGGTGGGGCACTTCATACATATTTTTTATTGACATAACCTCAAAATTGATGTTTTTTTTACTCGTGTCACTTTTCCTGCCGGGGTACGATAGGTTCCTTGTCAAATTATAAGAATCAGCAAAACTATTTTAATTAGATATTGAGTAATTATCATCGTAATTAGCCTAACCAAGACAGTAATGCTAAATAGCATACTCCCACCAATAACCACCATGTATTTGACACACCATAGCCAATTCAGGCTCTTGTGTCATTAAACCGTAACAATATGGGTTTGCGTAGATGGACGACCATGTGACAATCACATAGTGGTTGCAAGCGGATCAACCGGCAACAGAATTCCCCCGCTTTAATGTTGCTGAAGGAAGCAAATACAAGCATAGGGAAAGCCGTGAGTTCGTGCAAGTTGAGGACACTGTAAAGCCGTGAAGCAGTTCATGTCTGCTAGACCAGCTGTTAGTACTGTAGTTAGAGTAGTCATTACTATAGTTTTGAGCCGTGATAGCTCAGAGGATAGAGCGTTCGCCATCCAATGATATGAACCGGGTTCGAATCCCAGCGATGGCTGATCGATACGAATTCTGAAACTGGCTTGCACCGAGCCCAATGCTGTCATAAAGTATCCTCAGTGGTAGACGGATCATGGGTTAGAGTCCCCTTGCCGTCAGGCTAACCGTGGGAGGTTTTCGTGGTTTTCCTCTCCATGTAACGCAAATGCTGTTCAGTTCCATCAAAAAGTCTTCCACGAAAGCAAATTTCTTCCCATAATTGATCCATGAGTTCCATTGTCTTCTGAGTTGTGTTTAAAATTACATTGGCTCGATTGTTCAACGACTGTTTAAAAAAAATAGTCGAGGAAATCTCGAGGACTGTTCAACAGATTTTGCTCAAATATTGTTTTTTGTCATTTTAAATTATGTAAAATTCTGAATACCTTTCAGGACAATTATAAAAAAAAATGAAAAATTATTAAATATAAATTTTTTTACAATGAATTATCTTTGGATAAACAAATTCAATATAATGCTGTGCAAAAATTTTTCGATTACGCTTGAAGGGATCTCGAGACACAACGAAATACACAAAAAGTAAAATTCCCTTCAAGGGGTCGAACGCTCTCCAGCTTAAATTATTAAAATCGGATTGCGTCTATCCCCCCCCCATATTTTAATAGTAAAAAATACCAAGTTTGTCAACAAAAAAAAAAATTATATATTTATTCTGAGAAGGTACGTTTTTTTCAGACGATATCGTAATTTGAGATACATTCTATCATCTTCACTAATTAATTAGCTTATTTAAGGCTAGGTCTTCGAAGATTGAGTCTTGGAACGGGAAAAACTGAGCTTTAGATCAAAATTTATTCAGGGAGTTTGCTTTTTATCTTGCGCACTATACGTACTATGAGGTCGTGGTAGCCTGGTAGGTAGGGCGCTGGACTCATATCCGAGAGTTCGTGGGTTCGAACCCCACCGGCCGAAGACTCACCGTGTAGTAAATGGTGACTGATGCACGCTAAATCTGTCGAATCGCAAAGTCCTCCATGTTCCTATAACAAAAATCAATACCTCTGGGGGTACTGGATTGGCGATCGATCGTTCTCCGATTCAGGTCAAACATTACGATCTGTGGATGTATGAATGGGTTCGCCTTATAAACAGGTGTAATGTGTGTGTGGCTGAAGACGAATTCTTGGCCATAGATGGCTGCACTGAAAAACAAGAAACGCACCCTTTGCCTTAAATTTGCTCGGGTTCACCAAGCAGACTCGCTAGTGTGGCAAGTTGCATTAGTTGCAAACAACAACAAGTTGCATTAGTTGCAAACAACAACAAGTTGCATTAGTTGCAAACAACAACAACATTAAAAATTGGTACATTNGGATTGGAGATCGATCTTTCTCTGATTCAGGTCAA